ATGGCATCACTTACCTCACCTGGGATGGAGATGTATAATTGAGTATCATCCGCATATTGATAATACCTCATCCCATGATGACGGATGATCTTGCCCAGCGGTTTCATGTAGATGTTAAAAAGGAGCAGAGAGAGAACCGAACCCTGTGGCACCCCACAAAGGAGGGGTCAAGGATGGGATCTCTTGCTCCCTATCACCAGCGACTGGAATCGGCCCTTGAGAAAGGTGAACCAGCACAAAACTCTGCTGCCCATCCCCCCATTTCCCTGAGCCGTCCCAAAAGGATACCGTGGCTGACAGTATTGAAAGCTGCTGAGAGAGCAAGGATGGTCACACTTCCACCAACCCGCTCCCACCAGAGATCATCCATAAATGCGACCAATGCCATTTCCATTCCATATCTGGGCCTGAAACCTCACTGAAAAGGGTCCAGATAATCCGTTTCCTCCAGAACCCTTTGGAGCTGGGATGCCACCACTTTCTCAACCATCTTCCCCAAAAAGGGGAGGTGGGAGACTGGACAAAAATTGTCCAGTACAGTAGGATCCAGGGAGGGTTTCTTGAGGAGGAGGTGCTCCAACACCTCCTTAAAGGCAGCCGGGAACACTCTTTCCCGCAAGGATGTATTAACCGATGCCTAGATCCAACCACATGTCACCCCCCGAGCTGCTTTCACCAGCCAGGAGGGGCATGGGTCTAGATTTCACAGTCCCAAGGATCCTGTCCACTTCCTCAGGATCAACAGGATCAAACTGTTCCCAGATAACTGGGTAAGAATGATCCCTTGGTATCTCCCCAGACCCTGCCCCACGCTCAGAGTCTAACTTGGAACAAATCCGAGCAATTTTGTCCTCCAGATGCTCTGAAAATTCCTCTGCACGGCCCTGCAAATGAATCACCAAATCCTCTTTACCAAGGAGGGATCTAGTGATCCCAAACAGGGTTGGGTGCGAGTGGGGAAAGGCCATAAACTATACAATTTGGTTCAAATGAGTCAAAATCACTTCTGCAGAGTCTGGAAAAATCAGTGTATTTCAGATTAGATAACACTAGAAATCAAGATAAATATATCTCATTGGATTAAAAGTGCTAGAATTGCTCAGGGTTAAACTACTTGCTATGTGCTCAGTATTTTTCCTTTGTTGTGTTTAATTTTAAAGAAAATTTCTTTAATATTTCTTTTTTCATGGTGGGAGCAGATGTCTTAAGGCCCTGATCCAAATTATGTCATTCAGACCCTGACAGATTCTGCTGAAAATTCTCCACCCCTGAATAGGCTCTTCAGAGAAAGAGCAAACATTCTCAACTTGTATCCTGACTGCTTTACTTTCAATATAACAGGCAATTTACAGAACACATCTTTATTTATTTATTTAATTAATTTGGGTGCTGCCCAACTCCAACTGTCTCTGGGCAGCTCACAACACTAGAATAATATAAAAACAGCAAAATACAAAAAAAATAAACAGAGCAGTACAAAAGTAACTCCAAAATAATTATGAGAGGGCAATGCAAACAATAAAGCAAGTATAAAGCATCACAAACAGGGAAATCCCACCCACTACCCTAAGGTTTTCAAGGCCTTCCAGAACATCTTCAGGGTGGAGCTGCAGAGATCTCAGGATGGACCTCATTCCAGAGGGCAGGCACCACCACAGAGGAAGCACGCTTCCTGGCTCCAGAAAGATGACACTGTTTAATTGAGGGGATCTGGAGCATCTCCACCCACACCCTGCCAGGTGATACAGGACAGGCAGAAACCATGAGAGGCAGGTGGTCCTTCAGATAGCCAGGCCCTGTGCTATGTGGGCTTTATAGGTAATAGCTACTACCTTGAATTGCACCCAGAAGCCCACTGGCAACCAGTGCATCTTGCAGAGTAGGGGTGCCATGTGGGCACTACATTAACTTCACATTTTGTTAATTTAAAAAAATATTTTTAATGAAGTGTGTTTGGTGTCTTGCCAATGGATATTTTGTTTGCTCTGATAGTTTGGATGGGTGTGTAGTCACTCCAGTAGCGATTATGCTTACCTAAACGCAATCTAGAAATTTACCCGAATTCAGGAGACTGGATGAGAAGCTAATTTTTTGTTCCCGACCAGGCGTACGCGGCATCATCTTCTTTCCAAATGGGTGTAAACTTGAACCACAGCCTGAAAGTGCATTATAACATGTAAAGACGGATCACATGCTCTCCCTTTCTGAATAAGAAAGCAAGATGATGCGAACTGCTTTGAGGCGCGCAGGGCTCCAAGCCTCGCTCCCGCGCGCTCTCGGCAGCCACGCGCCACCTTGCCTCCGTCGCCCGGGCAGGGTCTCCTCCCAAGGGGCGGGGCTTGTGAACGCTCAACA